GTAAATTGGTAGTCTTGAAAATGCAAATTCAGTGATAGAATTTAGGCCTGGAAGTGACCTTAAATGCCATATAGTCCATCTGTTAGTCATAACCAGATTGCCAGCAAGTGTGTTTTTTTCCTTTTTGTAGGCTTTGGGAAGAGTCAGTGGTTTAGACCAGCATTGCAAGTGCTCTCTACGAGGATGTAAAATGTAAAAGTACAGATTCTCTTCATGATTAATAAATGGGGTGACCTGTACAGCATAGGAATAGGGAGGGAAAAAGAAGCCTTTTACAAGAAAGCTGTATCATTTATGCTATCTCTTATTGGACATGTTATGTGACAATATAGGAATTCAATACTAAATTATGAAAAGATGCATCGCCTCGCTCTTAAAAGTATGAATTATGTATAAAAAAAGTAAAGGGTTTGCTTGAAGAATTAAGGAGACAAACAAAGGAAGGAAAATACACAATATTTATTGGACACATAGAGCTTCTAACAATTAGTTCTTCGTTCTTTGTTTTCTGATTCCCTTTTCAATTATTCTTTTCCTTCCCCTAGCATACTGTTCTCATTTTCTTTTGCGTTTCTCAAATACAGGTCATCAGTTGGTTCAAAATGATAGCTAGGATTTCACATTTGTGGGACATCAGTCTGAAATACTTTAGAAATGAGCAGAGTACTATCAATGTTTTATAAATTTGCCTTTTTCACAAATCTGGTATTTAGTGGATCGTATAAAATGATGACAAGGTGAGGAAGCTGGCATTATCCAGGATTTTTGTCTGTCTATTTTTCCTTTTGTGGGTGCCATCTTAAATTCAGGATCATCTTTCCTCTGAGCAATATGGTATTTGTTCAAGCTATGCAACCTTTCTTGACTATTTGGCTGTCCCAGGTTCACTGTATTGACTTACAAAATATGAATCTTACTTCAGAGAGCTAGCAGCTAAGATTTTGGATTTTTTTCACATGATGCAGTTTCATTCAATTCTTAAGGATGGCCTTCCCATTGGATCTGCTGCAGTACTAAGTATACTTACTTTTCAGTAAGTCTCACTGACTATATGGATTATACTATTAAGATACAATGTCACCCACTGAATTCTCATGTAAGCAAATCCTTCTGGATATCAACTTTCCACCCCCCTATATCTTATGAAATGGCATCTCATATGTTTGGCTTGTATGTTTAAAAAAAACACAGAATGTTTAAAAAACAATTTATGTTAATATAGTGCTTTTAAAAACCCATAAAATGCAAATATTTGGTTTTATTCTGCAGGTTTTACATATTCAAGTATATACATAGAGAACAGTGGGACCCCTTGATATATAATTAATTCCAGTCTGTGTCTTCCATGTGCATATTGAAGAGGTTTGTGAATATCTCTATTGTTCAAAACAATTTCGTAGATACTGCCGTGGCTCTTATTTTCGGCCACTGTTACAAGAATGCTGTATAAACTCATTTCTCCCAGATAGTAACATTGGAGTAATCTGGGACTTATGACAGGGTAGTAAGATAACCTTATCTGAATGGTCTATATCATACAGCTAGCTGAATTAATCCAGTGAATCATGAAGATACTCTGATCTGATTTCTCTAAATAGATAAGTATTTAAAAGTTTGACATATTTCACATAATATTGTTTTCCTTCCTTGATAAAGATGGTAGTGCATCACGATCCTTTTCATTTGTTTATTTCCATAGCCATTTGTAATTTCCATAGTTATCCTTGTTCCTAGTAAAAGCAAGATTAAATACATAGAGAGATACAGCCTCCTACTACTGAAATGCGGCTAGTATATCTTCATGAAAAGCACTGGGTGGCCATTAGATGGCAGCAAGGATTTTCTCTATCTCTTTCTGCCATCTAATGGTCATTTGAAGTTTTCACCCCAGCTATGATAGTGTAACTATACTGGAATATCTTTCACTCTCATTTATACAATGCTCAGATCAGATGGGGGAGCGGGGGGAGAGATAAGACTAAATAACATTAGTGCTCTTAATAATGCATAGTGATCCTCTGGGTATTTATTCTTACTTAGTTGAGCTGTCATGAACTTTTGAGAATCCATAATAAAATTGTGAAGGTCAAAGAAAGTATCAGAGAAGAATGAGAACTGGTTAAATGCTACTGCTCTTTACATTAAAAAGTGCTTTTACTCTAAACCCTGGTTTTAAATAAAACAATCTCAGAGTTCTCTCCTTCTCTTACCTCCTTCCATGCATCAGTAGAAAATCTGTAATTTAATATCTCAGTATAAACAGGTTTCTTATCTTGGACAGTATATAAATACCTGCAATTTGTTCTTGTTTTAATACATCATGTTTAATGAAAATATTATTCTAAACTTTTAACAAAGTCAAATGACAACAAACTTAGTACAGTAGTACAAACAGATATGTAGAATAAGCTATAGTTCACTTTTTGTGTGGGAAATGGACAATTTGGAGTAGAGAAATGAAGGGAAAAGTATGTTCATATTCCCATAAGTATTCGTTTTCCTGTGGAGGTTTTACCTTTATCTGGAACCCTGCGATGAGAAAAGAAGTCGGGGTCTTTTCAGGAGAAATGCCGTTGGGAGGGGAAAGGATTTAAACATTCTCTCATGCAGTCACTCCAATTTAGAGTCTCCGCTTGCTTCACTGCCGTAAAAAATCAGCTGATGTTACATATTTCTGCATGAAACATTAAATCTGGACCCTGAGATGATTATTTATAAATGGCAAACAAGGCACATTGTTTAACACATTGCCAAAGAAAAACCATATGGGAAAACCCCTATTCTTTGGAATAGTCCCCAAAGGTAGGTGCAGCAACTAACCTTCTGCAAACAGTTGAAAGCTGTTTTATTCCAGCCCCAGTTGATTGAGGGATGGGACAATTAAAAGCATTAACTTGAAGATTTATGTTGTTGTTTTTATAATTTTATTTTCGTTCAAAATAATGTTATTAAAAGTTTTAATTGCAACAGTAAAAGATAATACAAACTAAGGAAAAAAAAGAGGGGCAAAAAAGCAAAGCCAAAAAAAAAAAACAACCCTAAGAAAGCAACTTTCCACCCTCATCACAAGTATAAACAATTTCATAATCTCTTCACCTCCTCTCAGTTAACAGATATAAAACTCTTCATCCCATAACTCATCTCTTAACTAGGAAAATCCAGTAAGTAATGTCTTCTCCAATTCAGGCGTCAGCAAAAAGTCCAAACAGAGCCCTAAAATAATAAGATTAATTAACATATATAAAACTCTGCAAAGTTTTTCCATTCCAAATGCCAACAGTTCCAAAGAGAACCATCCCAAATAGCAACATATCCCATTCAAATAAACATTCCATATCTCAATTCTTAACTATAAATAAATCCACATTTAACAAATACAAAGTAATCCCAGTATCCTAATATATACAAAAGACTAAAACTTAACATAACAAAGAGGGATATAAAAAGACAGTTAAATGCAAAGCGAGTTTAAATGCTGTCAAATTAGGATACATAAAGTAACTGTAGGGGGATAAGTTTAAATACCATGTTAAATGTAAGCAAATTCAATGCACATCATTTTTCCAGTCCAGATATCAGCAAATCCAAAAAGAACCACCCAAAATAGCAACATGTCCCATTTTAGCCCTGGCCAAATAAACCGACTTTGTGTTCTTTCTTTTTAAGCAAAACAAAGTTGTTCTTTAATCCATTCAGATGACTATTGATCCTTATTTCAAATTTCTTCAATATTTTGTACAGTCCAGCAAAAAGAAATTTTTCCAATTGCTCTCTAGGATTGTCAGCCACTCCCCCCCCCTTAAAAAAAAAGTTTTTCACATAGTGGGTTATGATGGTTGGAGCTAGAATTTCATCTGAGGGAACAACCAATCATGGCCCTTAGAATATCACACATTAAAGTTGTATGGTAGCAACATAGCACAAACTATGCTATACACCATAAAAGTGGGCTGTGGGGGCAGCAAGATTTAGGGCAATTTAATATTCTGCTGGCTCCAGAAGAGGAGGGGAGGGAAGTATGGCAAAGTGGCTGGATGGATGTGCCTATAACTATTTTGTATTAAATAGGACACAGGGCCATCTTAAATGCAAGTAATCCTTCCATTTTAGTGTTGAAATTACGTTTTTCTCCAAATTATCCCTGCTTAGATGGAGGTACCTTGATGTTGCCTTTGGGTGCCAAGGACTTTTCAGAGATAAACCCTAGCCTTAACAAAAAGAAAAAAAAAAGGGAAATAAGGGGAACATTATTATAGCCATCTCTTATCCCTATACCAAAATTGTACCCTTTTGTTTCATTTAATTTATTATTCAAAAGTCACACATTCTTTCTCCCTAGACATCTGCCTTGATTTTTTTTTTAAGTGGTGACTTGGATTATGTGGCAAAACTGCCATAGCAAGAATATTATCTCCTCTTCTTAAGGCATTGATATATGTGTGTGATTATTATACTACTGTCTTTGAGTAGGAATTAAATGAACTGTCAAATAAAGGCTAACATGTTGATAAAACAAAGATCATTTGAATAAGACCTAGCTCCACTGTCAGCTACCACTTCTGGAGTTCAGGGTTCTTCTGATGATATGGAGTGCATCTCATCTGAATCAGTATGATATGATCAGGTGCTATTGGAATAATAAAATCATTGACCCTTCTTGTACCATATATTTGTATGGACTAGAGTCCTATTTTTCAGAGGTAAGTGATGATGATGCCATGGAAGATGGAAACAAATATTTTCCAAGTCTGTGAAAACATCATTAACAAATTTAGTTGTGCTTTTATCTAATCATTTTGTTATTCCTTGGCTTGAATTCCATGGGAGAACTATGCAGAATTAAATTAGTAAAAAATAAAAATATAGTATTGTAGGTAATAAGTACAGATTATACTGAAATTGTCAATTAAAAGTTTCTGCAATGGTCTCCAAGAAGATATTTTCTCTAACACATAAGTTAATTGAGTGTTTGCTTGTTTGTTTGTTTGTTTTCCTTTTAGGGTGAAAAAGGAGAAAAAGGAACAGATGGCATACCTGGAAGAGATGTAAGTTGATATGTATGTTTTATTTCACTTCTTTGTGGATTTATACACTTGCAGAGTTTGGTTTAGCAATCACTTGAAGAAGCAAATGGGAAAATCTCTTTTTCCTATACTTTTCAGTTTTCCTTTCCCTTTTTTAGTAAAATTTGATAACTCACCAGTTAGCCAAAGTTCTTTTAGTGGTAAGAAACATAGGTCATTCTGCGCTCCTGCAAGAAGGGTCTTTAATCCAGTGGAATCATCCATTAGCAGAATGAGAGGAAAGCTTATTTTCAGATATCTTGTATGTAGAGATGGATGGAAAACTCTTTAAAAATGTCCACTTTACTGGTTCTAAAGATAAAAAACTTTCCTTAAGTTCTTATGTCCACAGAGCAGAGGGAACATTGGATGTAATCCAATAAAACTTTATATAAAATACAGTACAATTTTATATAAATCAACAAATACTTCAAAAGCAATGGAGATTTCTTTCTATGATTATTTAGCATTGTTTGCCATGTATTTTGTCCTTAGTGCCCTGATAAACTGTATTATTTAAGATATAGCTTATCAACTTTAGGTTTTTAATCAGATTTGTATCTGTTTTTGAAAGTAAAGAACATTGCATTTTCTCTATTCCATTTCACTGAGTTATTTCAGCCCACTTTTGTAACCTATCAATATCTTTTTAAATGTTGTTTTGGATGGGGGTGAAGAAGACTAAACTAGGAACCTCTAGCTCAGTGAATGGAATTAAAAATAAAAGCAGTGAAGTGTTGGCACTGAAGTGAGGGAATGCTGGAAGGAAAATTTTAGAGATTTGTATGGGAATGATAACACTATGTCAGGGATATAATAGCAATGCTATAAATGTTAGTATTCCAGAAAAAAAAACAACAGATGAAAAGTGTGTGATCACTGAAAAATGATAAGGATGCAGGTGTAGAGGGTATAACTGATATATTAAAATATGGATATGGATTGTTTATGGAGTGGCAGTGCACTGCATCCATGCCTGGCAACTGGAAGAGTGTCATTAGTCTTCCCCTTTTCAACGGGAAAAGTAAGAAGAGTGAATGCAAAAACTATAGGGAGATTTAATTAGTTAGCATAATTTGGAATGTGCTATGTAGTTTTATCCCCTTCATGGATCACTGCCTTGTCGTGGCGAAGGGGCTTGCGTAACTCAGCGAATCCATGAGCTATACCGTGCAGGGCCACCCAAGACGGACAAGTCGTGACAGAGAGTTCTG